TGCCATTCAAAAAGTACCTGTCTGTGTTTCTTCTTCTGTGGTGATCAACCTGCTTTCCACCTTTTACTTGCAGATGGGAACTGTGCATTTTGCTCTCATTAGGTGAAAAGAAACATGCATAAAAATTCTGGAATGTTTTAGATTAGCCTGCTGGGAACCAGAAAGAAAAGAAAGCCCAATAGAAGAAAAGTTGTAATTACCGCTGTGCAGAATTATCTTTATTTTCCATCATCACAGATCTTACTGTATACATTTTTCTTCCTTTTTAAAACCATACTTACCTAGATTTTAATGTTAATAGCATCTGGATGACTGATCAAAGCTTTATTCTTTTATTGCCACCTTGTTGAGATATGTGTAAACTCTTAATATTTTACCTTAATAGCTACATATTATCATTAAGTTCAGGCATCTACTAGTGAATCAAATATTTTCATCTTGTTTTAGAAGCGCCTGGAATAAATTGTTTAGAAATGTCAAAAGTGACTATCTAGCACCTTTGCACACACAGTGTTCATAAAGGATTTTAGTTAATGGATAAAATTTTGGTTTTCCACGTTGACTTTTGGTGCTAGTAAAAGTCTTCCGAAGTCCCCTGCTCCTCCAAAAGCTGAGGGCAGTAAGAACGTGCACATCATGACACCTACGTACTACTTATTCATAATGAGCTAATTGGGCAGGTAGACACCAGGCCCTCTTTACTGAGAAATAGAATATTCCCTAAAGAAGAATAAGTTACTTGGCTCGTAGCTCTAGGGCTATGCATTTATCCCACTCCATCTACTCTCAAGAAAGGTAATAGCAACAACAACAAAGAAACCATGGGCAGCAGGGAGAGTATAAATGCTAAATGCCTAACTGGGTCACCACAGCCTCCTCCCGTTGCATGTTTTCCCTCATCTGTTCAAAGGTAACTTATGTCCTCCTCAGTCATTCACACATTCATTTACACGGATGCCACACATTTGCTAGACTCTGTCCTAGGTCATGAGTACAAGGATGATCCATAGTACTTTCTTCAAGAGATTTTTATACTAGAGTGGAGAAAGCCAAGCCAGCATGCATGCTTTTGGCATTCTTTGGGGTCAGCACTATAGGCTGGTGACATATTCTGTGGGAGACAGAACACCTGGTCCCTTGTGACATGGGCTTCTGGAAGGTATAACTAGAGGTGATAGCATTGGAACTAAGAGCATAAGAACTCAAGGGTGCAACTCACTCTAAGGGGTAGAGGATGAAGGGCAGGACTGACACATAAAATAGTGCCTACACACCCACCCCCAAATAAAGCTGGAGAAGCGAAAGATAGCAGAGGTTAAAAAGGTTATCGTTTCTAACAAGCAGTTACCTAAGCATATTGAGGATCAAAGCTTCTTTCCTGAGGACTGTGGGAGCCTCTGAGGAAATTAAAATGAAGAGAGTAAGAGGGATCTAATGTCACATTGGCTAAAGAATATATTCTTGTAGCAGACAAGCAAGCAGCAGGAAAGTAGTGACAAAGCGCTGGTCCTAAAGAAACAAGACAGTTTCTAGAAGAAAGGAAGTCTAGAAAGTGCAGAAGTACAGTCATGTCTCAGCAGTCATGGTTCCGTGTACAGCAACAAAACAACCTGACATAGGTGAGCAGAGATGGGAACTTCAGGTTGACAGAGATGGCATGGGGGGAGTGAAAATCGACCCCAGTGAGTTACTAAATGAGTCCTCGTGTTCCTAAGTGTTATGCTATGGAAAGCATATCTATCTCCAACTCCCATCAGTTTTTCTGGATTTCCAGTTAGGCCTGCCCAGAAGACCTGCTACCTTGTGATGGTCCTTTCGTGTATCCTTTGGGTATAGGGACATGAGCCATCCTACTTGAGCCACCTGTTGAACCTGTGTAGACTTTGAACAACTAGCATCCTTGTCCGAATCTGTGTTAAAACTTTCTTCAAGTTTTCTTTTGTTGACAATTTTTTTAATCCTCCCAGAATTTTCTATGTGCAACAAAACAAAACAAAAACAAAAAAAGAAATCAACCAAACAAATAAATAAACAAACAAACAAACAAAAAACCAGTATCACTGGGCAGGGACAGGGTTAAGTAGTGCAGATTGCATGGAGAGAGGGGCTGTGAAAAGAGGTCCATGTACATTAAAGGAGCCAGATTGCTCAGTTGTTTTATGGGACATAACGTGATCACCCAGGCTGTAAGAAATCGGTCACAGTTTAAGAGATATGTTACAAGCAAGATAAATAAAAATAGTCTGAAGTATCAGACCAAACTCAATTTTTCACCCTTGTTTCACACTCTTCTCTCATCCTAGACTAATCAAAAGAAGCCTCTTTCGCTCACAATTGCTCTGTGTACATTTCTCCCAGATCTGGCATTCATATGGACAATGTGGTTTATTTATATTTCAGCACCAAATTGGAAAGATGACATCATTCATTTACGGTCTTCATCCCATGACATGCCTACTCTCCGACACCTCATTTCGGCAGACACATTTAGGGCTGCATATAGCATCTTGTTTAGCTTGTGCATTCTTTTATGGGACACAGCTCAGAGGTAGGGGGGCTTAGCACTGTCACTGGTAAGAGGGTGACCTCATAAAGTCACAGGGGCTCCCCTGAAGGATAAGGGCATTACAATGTTTACAATAGCAGTGTTATTATTTGTTCATTTAGCCTCCACCACTCATTCTTGAGCTAGCCCCTTCCTGCTCCACTGTCACAGATCTTGTAGTTCCCTCCAGGCCCTAGAATTCTATTTGGAAGAAACTGTTCCAGATTTATTAATTCATGAGTTCAAAAGTACAGTCTCCCATGGAAATACTGGGATGTTAGGTGTGAAGGCTGAACTTCAGCCTCTCATGTCTGATGGCGGGAGTACTGAGGAGGATCTGGTCCATGAGTGCTTTTCTGCACTCCTCTCTCCCACAGGCCTAACTCATCCATTGGGTCTTCTGCCTCATTAAATGGACAAATGAAGACTGGAAATGCTATCAGCTGCCAAAGGTTGCCTGAGATTTTTTTTAATTTAGTTTTTAACTGAGCCTTTTTATATTTTTATTGTTTTTATCATACATGCATTTTATGCCCTCTTTGGGACTTTTCAAATATTGTACACATTTTAAAAGATGGAATGAATAAATCATGAAGCACCCTTTGGCAGGTAAAGCTGGAACATGAGGTGTTTTCAAAACTTAACAGACCCTGAGTACTTACGGGATAGCTATTTCTACCTGTTCAGCTGTTTGCCTTCTCTACTGGCAGCCAGAGAAGATAGGGGGCTTAAAGACTGAAAACTGCAAGACCGAGAAATGTCCATGTGTTGGTCAAGAAATGGCTCTTGGGACTAAAGTCCATATCTTCCTTACTGGCTGCCAAATTACGGTAGTAATAATTCCTCCAAGGAAAGCTTGGAAAGCACAGTTGTACATGAAAAATGTTGTGAGCATGCATCAGTTTTGGTGCATAATGCTCTTTTATTATTAAATAATTATTATATTGCACAGTAAAATTCTGACTGGCTGGCAGCCCTGATGGCCTCCAGTTGCTGGCTTTCTGGGAGACATTTGGGCCACTGTCATCTTGAACCACCAGGGGGACCGCTATAGAGTCCACACTATGTCCTCAACTCTCAGTGACCTCTTCTACTGAAGAAAGACATGCCTCTCCTGTGGAGCATGGCCGGCACCCTTCATCCTTCCAGTCAGTGCAGCAATGTCAGCTGACGACCTCTGTGGCCGAAGCTTCAAGGGTGGACATAAGGAAAGCTCCTAGAGCATAGCTGATCATCGTAGAAAGTATGCTTAGTACATACACGACTCTGGGTTCAATCCCCAGCACTGCCAAAGGGAAAATAGAGAGACAGAAAGAAAGGAAGGAGGGAGGGAGAGGACGGACAGAGGAAGAGACGGACAGACAGACAGACAGACAGGAATAGGCTGCTGGAGAAAGTGCTATGAATTAATGAGACTCAGGAATTAAGATGAATGAAAAGGGCAGAGGAATTGCAAGCAAAGGACATAGCGTGCACAAAAGAGAACATTCTTACAGAAAAGATAACAGCAGTAATGGTAGTGCAGGCATCTGACTGACACTGGCTTCTCAGCAATCCCAGGAAGGATCACACCCATTTTAGAGGTAAGGAAGTCGAGGCTTGGGAACAGTTAATCATCTCAGGACAATGAAACCGGCAAAATTAGGTGGAACAACATTTGAGTCCTTAAATCCATACTTTCTAACTTTCCAGGCTTGCTAATTTCTTCTCTTTTCAGTGGGCCTTAGGCATTGTTTATGTTGTTGTGGCCTTGTTAAGTCAGTTCGTGCCTGCTCTATTTCTTGCCCTACATAATAAGGAACTATAGGCCTGTGGGTCTCAGTATTTAACTAGGACTCCTAGATTCCCGTATGACAAACACTGCATGATTAGAGCAGTCAGCTTGTTTTCCACTGACTTTGCTCCAGTTCTCTCAAAGAACAATGGCAGCTAAAATATCCACACACAACCTTTCCAGACATGTCATCATTGTAGCAGTGTCTCCAGCTGTCTCCTGTTTTTGGTAGTTTTGGAGTGGACTGCCTTTGGCATTTCCCTGCCTTGTCCTGTGAGAGCATTATTTGTCATTCTGTGTCTCCACACAACACTCTCCTGGCATTCCTTCCAGGCCTTCCTTCTGGCCTTCTCTAGAGGATGTAACTGTGGGCACCCTGTGATTGTAAGCTCACTCTGTATCTCTTTGGTTATACCTTAGGATGTGTCTGACTCCCCCTTAAAAAGTACATTGACATGTACAGATGTTATATAGCTAGCTTTGAGAGTGTGACTAAAGCTTCCTTCACCAAAGCTAATGGCATAACCTCTTTATTAAGTTTTAGTGTGTATAAAAATGAGACCTTCTTGATTGAAGTAAAGGGAGCCAGCCCTCCTTGTGGGTGCTATCCTCGTGCTCTGAGTCTACTGGGCTTGTTGTCTAGCTCCTGATGGAATCTTCCCTGGTTTTCCTTCTGCACAGACCCAGAATAGAATGAAGCTGATGGCAGACAACTATGATGAGGACCATCATCATTACCACCACCACCACCATCACCACCACCACCGATCTCCTGGGAGGTCACAGCATTCCAACCACAGGCCCTCTCCAGACCAGGTCAGTTTCATTGATGCTCACCTCTAGGACCCCTCTTATGCTTTGGATATTTTAAGATAAAATAAATAATCCTCAAGAAATAATAAACAGCATAAAGTGATACGTTCTTTGAACTGAAACTAATAGCTTTGGTATTTATTTCCATCACTCAAGGAATCTAAATGTTTTCCTTTCTCCTTCCTCTTTAAGGTTTTGTCTTTTCTTGTTTATATTATGCATTTTCATTCCTCCCCTCCTGTCTTCCTTAATGATATGCAGCCTATTGCTGGCTCATATCTAATGGCTAGTTACTTTGAAATGTGTCTTTCCAAGTTTTAAAAGAAAGCACACTATTCCCAAGAGCTTGGCAACCAGAGAAACCTTGAGTGTGCTGAGCACTCTCCTGGAAAGTCTCCCAGTGATATAAGTTAGTGGTGCAGCGACACACCAAAAGGAGAAGTCCATTTTGCTGCCTTTTTAGTCAGTAAAGTCAAGGAGTCCAGTTTATTTCATTTGGAGCCCATCTTCTTCCTTGACTAAGTAAAGCAAGTGAAGAAATGAAATGACAAAACCAACAGAGAAAGAAAGAAAAATGCCTGTAGTTTTCAGCTGGGTTCACTACTTGCAAAAAACATAGAGTCCTGAAGGTGATTCATATGCAAATTACAAAATTTGGTGCTAATAATCAGAACCATATAGTCAATATAAGTAGGCTTCTTTCTTTACTGTACTTTTGTAATGCAGGATCATAGTATGGTTTGTACAATAAATTCCAGTAGATGTGGGACATTAGGAAAAGGTACAGAATCACTGTGGACACCAGGGAGAAACACTGTGATAGGGAAACACTGCCTGCAGAGGGTCAGTGTTTGCTGGGAAGGTGCACTTACCACGCTCCGGAAACATTTTCAGATGCATCTCTTGTCTGCCTTCACTGGCATCCCAGAGGGGTTAGCTTAGGTCTAGTCTTTAGGATGCTTTGCTAGAAATAAAACTCCAGGGGGAGCCAGTTATTTAGAGCACAAACCACTGAGATCCTGACCTTTGTACCCTGAAGAATTTGTCCTCAGAGACCCCAGCACCGCAGAAGGCTTCCTCATAGGACTTGTGGATTTCCAAAGCCATGTTCATGGCCCCAGTTCATGGACTGCAGCCCCCTGAGACAGCTCTGGAGTTTGATGACCTGGAAAGTGGAAAGATTAATTGTATGTCATTACCGTATGTGTCCTTGTTTCTGTTTGGTTTTATGTATTCCGTGTTTGCCACTACCACCACATACCCACACCTGCTCAGCCCAGCGTATGTGACCAAGAGATCACTCCTCTTGGACACTGCCCTTTGGCACACTGCCTTTTGTTCCTTGGAATTCTCCCATGAAAGGTCAGTGTGAGGCTTCATTGGTGGGAGGCCTGCAGACCTCACTTTGGCTATCCTTCTGAGCTATGACTGCCAGAAGGCCACCCTGCACCTCACTGTCCCTCCCTGACATAGTAACAATGAGAACTGGAAAGACACCAGGAAGACTTGGAGTAAGTCACACAAGGACCTGATGATATAACAGGGACATGTGTCCTAGCATGCCCTGTTGGAAATGGTGGCCAGATCAAATCTGTCTGCTTTGGGAATGGTTATTTCTCACAAAATCTAGCCTCCTGACACTGCTCCATGGACTGGCAGTGGAGGGTCTTGCCTGCTCAATTGGCCCTCCTGTGTCTACTTCACTAAAGATTGCCACGGGGCAGCAGTGCTGGGGCTCCAAAATTAGTTAACATCCCTGGAACCATATCTGCCTAAGACATGTCCTTATGACCTTGGACACATCTTTGTCCTCCTTGCCATCAGTGAATGCTCTGAACAACTCTTAGGCACAGAAATGGAAGCTGCATCCTTCTTCAGGGAACAATCCATGTGCCAGGACAGAGACTACATCACTAGATTTGGGTCACTATGGTTGTTTGCTCTGCCAGTTAGTCCCTGAAGTAAATGCAACTTGTTATCCCTATGCAGAGCCTGGAGAGGAGAATGCACGCAAGATAAGGTGCTTGCTGTTCAGTCCTAGAGTAACAACCCAGGTCCTTAGGGTCTCCTTTTCTTTTTATTTATTTATTTGTTTTGTTTTGTTTGTTTGTTTTAGTCAAAACAAGACTGATAAAAGTTTTAAGCTGATGAGGGCTCTGGCTTCTGAACCTGCAGTTTATGGTGGAAGCAAAATAGCCTTACCCAGGAGAGGTCTTTTACATTGGAATCACAAAGGCTGCCAGACTTCACCCTTTTAGGGTACAAAGGAGAGTTAAGCATAAACCCCTGGTCTGCTATTTAGTTGGTGCCAGAAATTGAATTACTAGACCTCTTGAGCCAGATTCCGTGTTAGACCACAGCCTCCAAATTTAGGAAATGATGCCCTCCCCTACACTGGGACCAACAACATATATGTCAGTACGGGCGCTGTTATGGAACTCAGTCATGGAGGGCAGCAGTTATGAAAGCCTACCATGTCTTTCCCAGCTGATTACAACCCCTATGCAGGATTGTGAAGGGCATGAAGAGTGATGCCCTGAAGGCTAGAGCTACTTCCTAACAGAAAGTGAGAGGTCTTTATCAGAATGTAGCATCCTGAGAGTCACTCCAGGGAGTGAATTTGGATCAGGTTCTATCTGGTGTCCACTGTGCTGAGTTAGCTGAGTGACCTAAAGGGAAATGATCTCTTCTTGTGAGGCTTTCAGCCCTGGCTTTCCGATAGCCATCAGGGTCAACCAACCATGTCTCCTACACAAGTGGCCACAAACTATTGCCCTTACTTCCTGGGGTTTATGAAGAGATCAGAACACACAAAAATGAGGAACTATGAAAAAAATCAATCACTTTGCTAGGTTTCCAGAGAAACTCACCACCACCCCCCCCCCACAGGAAACACAAGCATTGCCAGGCACTTGCAGAATTATATTCTTTTTCCAGTTCTTTCCTGTCTCTTTGCCCTTTGCTGTGAGTTTTTAAAATTTCTTTTTTGAAAGAAGCTGAATCTAAGCATTATAAGTCTAAACTCACGTTTTCCCAAGTAACTTGTAGAACATTAGTCCCATGAGGGAAATCTTGAGACAAGGACTTGATGGGCCAAGAATTTCAAGAAAATACTGCACATTTTAACTCTATCTCCTAACTTCCCAATACTATTAACAGATCAAAGGATCTAAAATGGCTCATAAGAAAGAAAGCTCCATAATTTTATTTAATCCAGCATTTCCCAGGCTTATTTGATCATGGCCTAAAATTTTTTTTTTTTCTAGTAACATCTGGGCTTTGAGAAATAGTGTTCTCGGGCTATCAGGTAAAGTAAGAGACTATCTGGTTTAAAACAAGACTGATGCTATTTCTAGCTGAGCTTTCATGAGAATAAGGAGACTTTAGGCACTATCCCTGGTGATTAGTACAGTGGAAGGTGAAACTGCCTCTTCAGTTCATTTTCTGGACAGTGAGTTGTCTCACCAAGAACCCTGAAGATCTGATGCCATTTCTGATGAGGACATGGAAATGAAGGGCAGTCATAAATACAGAGCCCTTCAGTGATGGCAAAGTAAACAAAGGGGCATGGGTGGATTTAGAGAAGTGATCAGAGAAGCCAGGGCAGTGTTTCTGTCACACCATATAAACCCTGCCTGAGAAAATAGCAGCTAAGAGCTAGAGGCCAGTAACCCCAGGATGACTACAGTCATGAAATACATCCAAGCAGAAAAGAACATCCCAACAACATAGTAATCATCTAGGAAACCCCCTTGGGCCAAGAAGTAGCCACAATGTACACAACATGTATTTCCTGTGATATAATAAAGACCAAAGTAAATGGGACATGCCAGCAACTAGTGATTCAACTTTTATTGAAGTTACCAAGATTGATTTTATAAAACCAAGCAGAAACACAATTTCTCCTAAATGCCCTGCAGAAGCATTTAGTCACAAGTATCATCTTTATTTAATATTCCTTTAGATTTTATCCTTCACTGCTTTAAAGCATATCAGTGATACCAAGTCTTTCTGCTTTTGTTTTTGGGGTTTTTTTTGTGGGAATCTTATAACTTTTACTGTCCCAGAAAAAGATATATTTTAGTAAGCTCTTTTCATTGCCTCCCATCAATGAGAAAGCTATATAGCACAGTGACATGCACACTCAGACCCAGCATAGTCAGGTCAGTTCAGCCTGCCCCTTGTGTGCCTAGGAATCTCCACATTTCTATAATAGGCACTAGGTGGGATCCTTAAAGGCCCAGATCCCATTGCTTTTTCATTCTGAATGCCTGTGCATGGAAAGGCACCTGGCACTCTGATTATAGTGTGCTAATAGAGCCTCAGGGATTCAGAATCTGAGCATTTTAGAGCTGGAAGACCCAGAGTAGGCAACATTTATTGAAGAACAGAAGAGGCGTCTTCTGTCTCCTCCTGCCCCGTTCACTGAATACAAACACCCAAGCACAGGAGATGGGAGGCTAAATACATTTCACTACCTATGTAATTTACAGATCTTGAAATTCTAAATTTGCATACAGAAATTCTATTTCTCTAGGAGGGATTTGGAGTCCAGAAGTATGGAGACATAATACTAGAAATATAAAAAATCTATAGAGAGAAGGTGATTGAACTCTGTGTTGATGATCTTCTTGCATATTACAATGCACATGCACACCTGACTTCTGATTGCACATTAACAAATATTTCTTGAGTAAATTGTTCCCAAAATATATATGAAAAAGAAAAGAACAGATGGATGTGTCCCTGTTATACAGGTTAAGAACTGGTACTTGGAGAGATTATTCATGATCTAAAGACATACAACTGAGCTGGAGAAATATCTCAGTGATTAAGAGCTCTTGCTATTCTTCCAGGGGACCTGAGTTCCATGTCCAGCATTGAGTTGAGTGGCTTCGAACACTTTATCACTCCAGCTCCAAGGGATCTTATTCCCCCTTCTAGCCTCCATGGGGACCTGCACTCATGTGCATATACCTTGCCCCCCTAAAGACATACATACA